CTCAAAGATGGTGAAAGTATAAGTGGTAGTTCAAGAAATCATACCTTTCCCGACCCTGAACAATTTTGGCATCTTTCAGTCTTTGGTGGCGACAAAGGCTGATCTCCACCACTTAAGGTTGATACTGGCTGGGTCAGCACAAGAGCTCCCGTGTTTGAGCAGCGAGCGCAGGCCAAGTATCCTGGTCCAATTTACAAATGTACATCCCGAAGATTGAGAATGAAACTTCAACAAAAATAATTATGAACAATGTCTTCAATCAAGTTAGGAACTCAGTTTGTGTACTAAAACAAGTGCTCAAGCCATACCAGTGCCAAGACAGTATTTACATCTTTTATGCTCCTGTTGCTTTACATTGTTTGCTTCAACAACCATTAGTGCGGAGATCACCCCGACTGCTCCTCCGGAGAAAGATGCCACGATCGGATCAACCTGACTGCACTTTGTCACAGGAAAACATTTGAACATATGAATTTAAAACTTGCATGAAGTGAAGACATGAAGTGAAGAAATTAAGCATTAATGCCACTGATCTGAATTCCAAAGTGGGCAATTCTTACGAACATTAAAATTTTTTAGTAGTTTACTTGCACACAAACTGCATAATCCACATACACTAAGTAGAAATAGGACTCAAGATCCTCAGTATGAGATTCTAACTGCAACATCTTGAGTAATGAAAGAACACAACAAAGAGCATATCAAATCTTATAATCAACCATAAAATAACCCCTTGCCAAAGGAAAATACAGAAAATTAATCATTATAAGAAATTTTTAGTACCAAAAGTTTAAAATCCTACGAAGGTTGTTGATCCACTCAATTTTGGAAGTTTCCTTTTTATTTATTTATTGGAAAGAAAACATGAGAAATTCACGATGGCAGCTGAACTAACATAATAATCTAAGAAAGCTGTAACATGCTATGATATCGATTCCCTGTACAGTGACTAATAATTTCAAATTTATGCATATTAATTGAATCTCAACAATTTTTAATGGAGCCTTCATAAAAAATAAATCAAAAAATCCAGAGCAAGGATTAAAATATCCGTTAATTCAATGATACATCTTTGAATCAGAGAGTTCGATGTCGATATTTAGTATTAGCTGATATCTTTGACACGTATATGAAGTAAAGACAACTCATTGCCAAAATATTTGTCGATATCGATCTATTCATAAAATCAAAATTTCAATATCGATATCAACATGGATATTTTAATCTTTGATTAAGAGAGAGTATTAGCTCACCTTAGTTGCATTGGAAGATTCATACTGCGAATAAAATCTACATATGATGTGCCTCCTAGTCCCAGCTTCAGCTCAAGCTTAAATGTAAGAGAAAAGATGAAGGAAACATTAGTCCGTTCCAAATTTGAAAAAAAGAAGTTACATGATGCAATCAAAGACTGCTTATTGCCCCTAATGGACAAGATGACTCATCAAACGTGTTTTATATAAAACAGGTAAGATTGCATTAGAAACGCCCAGAGGCACTAAAGGAGCATACAGAGGACTATAGGGTGGCTAATAGATTACCGTGGGTGCTAATAGGCCTCCAAATAGCACTATGCCAATAATTAGAGAAGAACATGTAACATAGTAGAGCTTCAGATTCGCTGAAGTCTGCAAGTATAGTAGCATGTTTATATGGTGATCAACAAGTAGTCGAAAAAGAAAGAGCTTCGGATGATATGACTAGCGAAAAAATTACAGATACCATATTTCTTAGTGGCAGAATAAATATCAAGAATTGAAAAGAAATCAACAATAACATGGAGAAAGAAACTGCTGGGGAATAAAGCATACCAGGGGGGGTAAAAATGGAATGAACGATGGAAAATTGGGTAGTTCGTTTTCTCGCTCTTCCTTTGAAATTCCAAGTTCAGCATTTTTTATTCTCTGCTGTATCCTCAGCCGACGAACCTACAAAGATTGGAGCATTTCCAAAAAAATATGAAGGGGAAGGAGAACCAACATATTTTGATTTCAAACTTTAGAATGAAAATGGGGAGCAGAAAAACTTTTGTCCGAAGTTTTTTCCTGATAGTACTCACCATGTCATGAGATATGCATATGCCATGGTATGGCTCAATTAGACCATGAGGCCCAAGAGTGTGGTAGAGAGGCAATACCATGCCCCTCTATAGTACATATAAGACATATTTGACACATGCACATCAAGGTGGTGAGTCATACACCAATTTGGAGCATCTATTTGACGTCCAATTGACACCAAGCTTGATGAGTTTACATCTTTAACTTATACGGACTTAACTCTGTAGTTGATTATCAAAACTCACGATATAACTGATTTACATTATTGCTTCTATTCTGGCTTACACCTTAACTTGACAATCTTACCTAATCTTCTTGGTGTGTTAGATGATGCACCGTCATCCTTGATCGCATCGTGACACTTCTCTCTTGACCTTTGACATGGCTCAACAAACGGCACTTGCATACAAACACTTTTCTTGTCCACAACGTGGGAGACACAACTTTCTCTCTTTTAGTGTGGATGAGATACCTAACACCTCATTGCATTTGGAGTCAAAAAGTGACTCAAGATGCCTTAAGAGTTCAAGAGTGGGCTGATCCAACTTCAAAACGCTCCCTCTCCACTGTTCTAAAATCCTACTTGTTTTTAATAATCTCGTATTCAGCATGCCATAAACAGAAACTAAACAAGAAACCTCAAAATTTGTCTGGCACATTTTTGGGGGGACAAGAAATAATTTCATCGATAGTACGAAAAAAATTGTTTGCCATCAAGAAAATCATTTCCTAATTGGACTTGTAAACAATAGACCAATAGACAAGATGATGTTCTCTATCTTTATCCACAACATCCCACAAATAATTTAGATATTTTTGCTGAAAATTAACAGAATTCAAGACTGAAAATTGGTTAATGCAAAATCTAATGGAGGATTAAAACTATACAAGTAATGTCAGCCTACACAATATGTATACCTTTTGCATCAATAAATTCAGATTGTTTAGGTTCAACAGAAACTAATTTTTGAATTTTAGAACAACAATGAAGGAATCAGAACCCAAGCCGTCTAAACAATAATACTAATACCTGGCACCGCCCCCTAAATGAACGCCTTAGGTTTTATCAAGCTATTGAAATTTTAGACTCATCTAAATATTTTGAAATTCAAATCCATGAATAATCAAATACAGGCAATCAGTTCATGAGAAAAGTTTATACTACCACGCAAAATGTCTACTAATTCTGACCTCTTCCATATGCAAGAAAATTTTGTTTCGACGACTTCGAATGTTCTCTTGAATTTCTTGCAGTTCCATTTTTGCAAAACCTTCAACTGTTTCAGGTCCCTCTATGATACAAAAACTGCATAAAAATCATGTTATGTTAAAATTTAACGTTCAGATAAAATATTCCTAATTGTCAACAAGGAAACCGAAGAGATAATACTACGAATACAAATTTCCTACTTCCATGAACGTGACAACATCTAAGAAACAATTCCTCGAAATGCCCAGCTCCACATATCTCAAGGCTCAGAAAGGGTCCAATACCAGTGCAAATCCTTAAGATAAGAACTTATGGTATTTGCAATACTGATTTGAAGCAAATTCTTCAAATCATGAGAACACAAACGACCAGTCACTCCAGCCCAAGCGTTCACTCAGAGCGCGAGCATTTTCCCCTTCCTGCTTTGCTAGACAATTACGCCACACATTTCCACGCAGTGAATTGACAACTTGCGAAAAGAAAATGACTCGAAGTAGTCGGCGCATTTTAAAGTAGCAGTGCTCAAAAAGTAAAAGACACAAGAAATTATCCAGCCATTTTGCAATTTCATCACATAACCAACAAAAACATCGAAAATGAACAATTATTTCACTTCCTAGAGGTTGCCTCAAAGTGCTTCAACAACAACAATCAGATACAGAGCTACCACAAGCAAAAATTGACCTACCTGGCAGAATTTTTATCAGAAGGATCAGATTCTATAGACGGAGCAAAAGAAGAAGAAGAAGAGTCAGCGGAATCCGAGGCCATGGATTGGCATCGCCACCTTGAGCTCAATTTCTGCCGCTTTTTAACAGAACTCAACCTGAAAGTCAAACCAGAGCTCCAATAGTAATCGATTCGAAAACTGCGAGGTCGAATCGAGTGATTGATTGGATACGAAGCCACCAAAACACGATCCATTGGAACACAAGAGAAGAAGCAAATCGTTCAATTTTTTTTTGGGATTCTCGTTGATTCTATTGCGAATTTCTGCAACTTCCGGCGAAAAAATTCTGAGAAACCGAAGAACTGAGCAAGCGTTGTGTGCCACGTAGAAAATGATATTTTCTCTCTCTTCTGTTTCTTTCTTCATATTTCAAATAGGAAGAAGAAAATGATATAATTATTTAATTATATCATTTTTTTTCTTTAAAAAATGAATAATTTTTGTGGTTTCTTTAGAAAATATCGATTTTAAAGGATAAAAGGAAAACGACCAAATTGTTTTTTTTTTAATTTATTTATTGCTATGAAAATTTGTTTGTATTTTCTAAATTTTTAGAATTATGGTTTTTTTTTTTCATATTTTAAATAATTCAAATTTGATTAAACCATATTCGAATCTCGAACATTTTAGTAAATAGTGTTGTCTTTTATATTTTTATTTTATTTATTTTAAAAAAACAAGAAACATAAATGTTTAAATTTTGTTTGGTTTTGAAAATATGGATAGAAAATAAATAAATTTATATATTAAAATATAATTTATAAACTTATTTTATTTTATTTTTTTATTTTGTATTTATGGAATACGTAAATTTTAGAAAATGTTCATATAAATGACGTATTAAATATAAAATTGAAATTTCAATACCATACTTTTAAAATTTAGACTTATTAAAGAGTGGATAAACTTCTCTGATGACACGTGCATATGCGCCAAAGTGAGTGTATATATATATATATATATATATATATCCAAGTCATTTGTGGAAAGACCTAGAAGGAAACTGGAGGTCTGGAATCCGATCGAGCAAAATTTCCCGCCCTTCTTTGTTACGTTTACTGTTCAAACACATCGATTGAAGTTATAATCTTTATACGATTCGAGTTCCGGAGCTCAGAGAATTATTGTAATCGGCTCTCGCATTTCGGCCATTGGTGCCCGGCTGTGGTTTCTCTAAATCTTCAACTTCGATTTCCTGCATTACTTTTGTGGTTTTTTTTTTTTTTTTTTGGTCATGGATTCCTCGAAAGAAGAGGATGCTTCCGTTTTTCTTGATCGTTCTTCACGGTTGACTAGAGGAAAGAGGTACCGGACTACTTGCCTATCTTCTATTATTATTATTATTTTCCTTGGAGATGGATTTGATTGTGAATTGGCGACGAACTGATGCAAGATGTTTCGAATTGATGTATTTATGAATGGGGTGTTTTTATTGGTTACAGGATGACCAAGTTGCTTGATGATGAACTTGAAGAAGACGAGCTGTTTTGGAATCAGGATGCACTTAAAGAGGTATTTTTAGAGCAATCTAACCTTTTTTTTTTCTTCTCTAGGAATGATATGATTGATCACGTATATTTGCTTTGTGGGGGTTACTAGTAAAATCATGATTATAGTTATGCAATGTGTTCTTCTGTTTCTCCATCATTTCTCATACGCGCGATTAATGTTCAAATTTGAAAATTTCACTGAAACTGATCTTGTACACATCCACTTAGATGTAGTTACACAGTTGGATTTCCGTATTACAACGCCATGGTCTGGATGTCCTCCGTTAGATTGCTGCAATGTGTCCACTCAATTATGAATTTTGACTGAAACAAATATCCTTTCTGAACGTATCCATCTTCAAAATTCGTTACAGGATGAGGTTGATGACGAATATGAAGAAGAACCTGAGGTTGCTGATGAATTTGATAGTGATTTCAATGAAGATGTGAGTTCTGTTTCAGTTCCTTTTCACGACTTATTCTGGTCAACCATAAACTGTTTTTCATAACATGGCTACTTCTTATGGACAGGAGTCTGAACCAGAGGAAGAAGCCGAGAATGAAGCAGATGAGAGGTTTGCTCTTCTCTGAAGTGCTTGGATGTTGGATATAGATATATTTATATCTTCTGTTTTAAAATTGAGTTTTTTTTTTTTATTTTCTTTCTAGAACACAAACGAAAAAGAGATTAATATTTCCCGGAAAGACCCCTTCTAAGAACAAGAATAAAAAGAGAGTTGTTTCTAAAATTGAGAAATCTTCCAAAGATGAAGCATCGACCGATCAATCTACGCCTCCTGAACATCATGATACTCCAGATGATACTGAAGTTGAGAGAACGGTGAGGAAATCCACTAGAACTTCAGTTATTGTTAGGCAAGCTGAGAGGGATGCTATTCGTGCAGCTTTGCAAGCCACTATGAAGGTGAGTCCTGAATACTTGAGACTTTTCATTTGTAGGATGTAGACCAAACTGTTGTTTGTTAGAATAGTTTGGGTTTTTCTTGAAGGCAGTTTCTTGATTGAATATGGTGATGCTATTATGATATGGAAACTTCTATTTGGGTTCACATATCCTTCAACTACTTGAAAATTATTTGTCATCCTATAAATTATGTAGTCATTTATATTGCCATGTCAGACCATTCATTTGAATCTATCGATCCATTCTGTGTTTCAGAGATGAGGTGAAATGAAAAAAACATGCAGAAATAACTATAAAAAAAACGAAAATTATAAGACAGAAGCTTCTGAGTTCTATTTAGTTTGTTTTGGAGTAACTTCGAATTTTATGACACGCAAAATTTGGTTCTCCATTTGTTTGTTTGGTTTTAATGGTGTTTGGGTATATAAAAAGAAAACTTTTTTTTTTTTTTTTGGTTGGATAATTTATTCTCCTAAAAGAGTTACTGGACTGGTCTTACTATTTTGATGTATGGACTTCAGGTCGTAAGGTAAAGAACTGCTGCTCTTCGTACAAGTGAATATCTTTTTTTTTTTTAGAGATAAGACAACTGACACTGTATTCAGGAGAGTAAGAAATCAGTATGGTAGATAAGATGTCCACCAATTTTGTTAATAAAAACTTTACTTCAATAACTATTAAAGGGAATGCACCTTATAGAAGTGAGAAATCTAGCATCTAGCTAACTTCTAGATGTCTTCTAAATGTTTAGTTTTTTCCTTGAAGATGGATGCTTTGCTTTCCTCTAATCCAAATCTTCTATATGCAAGCCCTAACTCCCATATCAAATGAACTGCTGCTCTTCGTACAAGTTCATTTCATGCTTCTTTTCCTTCAATGTTCAATTTTGTTCTAGTGTTTCCATCAAACAATTTTCTCAAAATGACTGTTTTTAGTATTGGATATGAGTGAGACTGTATTCTTTCGTGTCCACCAGCCAATCAAGAGGAAAAATCCAGGTGAGGAGAAGAAGATGAGTCAGGAAGACATGCTTCTTGAAGCTGCTCAAACAGGTGAAACTGATGGTTAACGTTTGCTGTTGTAAGTTGCAACACTGGGTGGATACTTGAATGTATCTTCTCTTTTTTTCTTTTTTTTTTCTTGAATTAATATTTTAACCTTCCATATTCAAGAAATCATGAACTTGAGGAATTTGGAGCGTGTTTTGGCAAGGGAAGAAGAAGTCAAAAAGAGAGCAATTGTACAGAAAGCTGTGTACAATGGTCCACGGATACAATATTTGTCAAGAAATGGTACCATCTGAAGTGTGACTAAAAATTGTGTTCTTTCAGAAAAGAACTTATCCATGTTCGGAATTAAGTCATATTGGTGTATTTTGTTGCAGGTTGCTCATATCTAGAGTTCAGTAAAGGATCGTCATTTCAGGCAGAGCTTTCAACCACATCAGTTCCATGTAATTAATTACTTGTACATAATCATCCACCCAATATTTTTTTGAACAAGAAATCTCCGGGACTAATGCTCAAATATACAAACACCAAAAGGAGACAAAAGGAAAATAAAGTGCATAACTAATGGAAGGTAAAAGGAGAATAAAAGGAATAATAGATGAAAGATAAATACTTCCTAATTCATACAAATACAGTGCAAAGAGAAATAAAAATATATAATTTAGAAAGAGAACACCATCAAGAAGTTTTGTATCTAGTGTCTTGAGATGCTTCTATAAATTCTCAGAACTCTTTTGTTACAAATCTTGAAATAATAGCCTTCATTGCACATTTTAGTTACAATGAATCCTCAAACACTGTTAGCTCAGCAAAATTTGGCCAGCGTCCTACTTCCTTGTGTTTACAGGATCTTTTTCATTCTTCCAAATTTGTTTCCTGTTAAAAAGGAAAAGAAAATGGATCTTGTTCTTATCAGTACCTTGCCCCCTAAATTGAAAGTGCCCTCTCGAACATTGGTTCCTCTCTTTCGGTAACTTCTCAAATTTTCAAGAGTAAGACTTCTTATGAGAAAACTGTTATTTCCCCTTTACTAAAGTATAAAAACAATAAGTTAAATAAATGGATCTGATTTACTTCGAGAGCTATTGTCCCTTGGAATGTGCCTTTAAGGTTTCAAATTCATTCCATTAAGTTTTTAGTTCTTTTCCTCTTCCTTTGTATTTGAAGAATATGCAGGTTTTGATCTTGCCTTGATCTGTTTCATCTGTAATGCTTCTAATTATTGGTTACTTTTTTCTTCCCTTTTTCTTCCCTTTTTCTTTCTAGATCCAGAGAAAGCCGTATGTGTGATTACAGGTTTGCCTGCGAGGTAAGATCTCATTGCCATTAGTTTCTTCTAATGTTTGGTTCTTGTTCTCCTGTGCCTGAGAGATAGTTTAAATGATTGTTCTGATGTTCTTTTAATCTGAAAAAATAACCCTTCAAGTGCTTCATGAAATACCACAACGTTTTTTGTTAGACCGGTTCAATTATTCGCAATCTAAAGGCAACATGGTTCAATTCCTTAAAATTTAGGCTATGATGGAAACTGGAGAGATCAGAAAAGGTTATATCATTGTTCTTTTAATAGTAAAGTGCATGAGGTGCAATCCTCGGAGCTTTAACACATGGCAGAAAGAGGGTTACCTTATGCTACTTAAGAAGCTTTTAATTCTGCAGGGTATTGTTCCTAAGAACTGTACTGAAGTATAGTATCAAGAACTTGACAATTCTGCAATTATTACTCTCTTGTAATTACTGCCTTTTATGCTGCAGGTATCGTGACCCAAAAACAGGGTTGCCTTATGCAACGAAAGAAGCTTTTAAGACAATCCGTGAACGGTACAGTTCTTCTTTGCTTAATTTTTGGGTTCTGATTTCTTCATTATATTATAGCTGAGTTTGTATACTTCTCACTTCACTTCATTTTCTTTAAGTCTGTTTAATTCTTCTTAAAAAAATTATTCACTACATTATATGCCAATATTGCCGAGACATGAAAACGTTGGATAGAGGGTGACTGATGATAAAAGTTTAGTAAAGACTGTTAATTCATTTTTGCCTGCTACACCATCAATTTCCGATGCTCCATTATGATGTCGCTGGTATCGGCATTTCCCCAAGTTTATGTACATCCAGGAACGAAACCTATTTGACTGACAGATCAAACATAATTACAAGTAATTTATAACCGTACCCTTAATGAGCATACATCAATTCTCTTTCTCACAAGAAGAAAACTCGAATTTTAAATCAGGCTCATCAAGAGGGGTAATAAGTGGCCAAAGTATAAAACAGTATAGACATTTGTGATTTTGGGATTAGCTCAATGACAGGAACACTAAGTTGTACTCTTTTGAGTACCCAAAATGGCCCAATCATCTTCTTCTTTAGTTATTATAAAGCATGGAATCTGTGCTTTTAATAGATGGTAGTTCAGAGTCTTGGTAACTGGGAACCTGTTTCTTCTAGGTGTCTCTGTGACCATGGCAATTCAGAGGTTAATATTATGAAAAAAAATGAAAGTGTAGCTCAACTCTTCCAATTATCTGCACTGAATTGTAGAGTAGATGGTCTTTTAAGACTCCTGCTTTACTTGATTACCTCAAATTGAGCATTTTCCTTCAATCAGTATAGTAGCTCACTAATTGTTGACATGGTGCAGATTTGCGGATGATGGTATGGGAGCCAAGGAAATGGACATGGGATATTTATTTGCTACTCTTTCTGGTAAAGGGTTTTCAGCAAGGCGGAAGAGATCAACGCCGCAAAATAAAAATGAAATTTCCTACTTGCGCCCCTTTTCTCGTTTTCGCCAAATTCCAGCATTTGATTCTGATCTTTCCGATTAGTTTGTTAAGGTAATATAGTAAATTCTCTTATGGCTAAATTTTGTATTGTCTATTCCGCCATTCCATGTTCATGAACTAATATCATTATTATTTTGAATAACCATAGTTTGTTGTTCTGGATGGGCGGGAAGGGAGAGGATTCAGTATTTTGATTTCGATACTGAAGACATTGGCTCTGGTTACCTTGGGATTTTCCTACTCCATAGGTTTCTCGATACTGAAGACATGCCTGCAGTTTTTAGGGGCCTTTCTGGGCGTGCACTTTGTGGTGTTTGCAGTTCTTACAACAGTTCACCTCATCTCTATTCTTTAGCTGATCCTTGTTCGGCTACCATTGCAAGGCAGGTTCTTCTTACAGACATGGCCATCTATTGGACGAAATGTTCTTGACAGAGCTTTCAGATGTGTTCTTGATGAATCGGTATTTTTGGGGTAAATTGTCGTGCCCTACAGCCATTCTTGAGGAGTGACTTTCTCAAATACTCTTCTTTTCATACTGTATTTGCGTTGGTGGTTAGATTTTGTATCCAATTCTCTGTAATCGTGTTAAGGTGCCATTGTCATATGGATTCTGATATATTTTGAAAATGAGACTAGGAAGAATCACGAGTAAATTGTTTCATAGTGACTTTCATTAGAAAAAATGTGAAACAGAGTGTAGAAAGAATATTGCTAATGAGACGAAGCTATTAACAAATGAAAATAGATGGCAAGTGCCTAATCAAATTGATCGGGTCATGTAAAAATAAGGTTCAAGTCTATCGGACTGTTAGAATGCCTCAGTTGCATACATCTATCGTGATGATAAATAGCTCATCTTGTCATGACCTTATCTTGAATTCTCAAAACTTCTGTTGCTCCATCCCCATGGGACAGAGAACCCATCACTATCTCAGTCGTGCTACCGAAGACTCTGGAGAAGTCCGAATATGTGAGTCCTAATTAAAGTTTTTGATAATGGACACTAATAAAGTAAAGGTACCAAAATTAAACAGCTTACAGTTTGGAACCAAAATGGTATTTAAAAACAAAAATATGAGCCACGAGAAGATCATCTAAAAAATGCATATGAATAAGAAATCAGAAGAGGCAACATCTATGAAATCTGCGTTATGTTTGATATTGCGTAAAAACAGATCTCTAATCATTTCAAAATTGAACTCATAACTCAGGTTTGCACATAAGGGGAAAAAAGGATACTAAATTTAAAGGCCAAACACTATAGCGATTTTAATTTCAACGGTTAACATATGGGCACAGTTAAAAACTTGAAACCATTTACTTCTTCTCTTCCTTCTCTGCCTCGGCAGCCCTCTTCAACCGAGCACCGACATGGCGCGCATTCGTTCTCTCAATACGAAGCTTGTCATAAGCCTTGAAGGACTTCAAGTCTTCTGTGATCTTCACAAGCTCAACTGATGGCTTCTCAAGTCCAATAGACATGTAAGGGCCCTGGACCTGCGTGGCAGTTGCTAGTTCCTCAGGAGTAGAGTCGCCAGCCTACAACAACAGATAATGTAAATGAATCAGAGTCGAGGCATTAACAAATGAATTGTATTGCTTCGGTAGTAGGAGTATGGAGGCTACCTTGAACTTGCGGGCACGTCGTGGGAAAACGACCACCTTGGCCTTATAAGTCTTCAACCTCTGTACATTAGCTTGAAGACTCTCCAAGGAACGATTTCTGCGACGATGATCGACTGCAATGCCAATTGTTGGTGCATATTTCTTCGGAATTCCAGCTGCCTGGTTTTATGAAAAATTTGTCAATCATCTTGATGGGTAGCAACCAATGAATGATCTCTATAGAATCCAAACAATATCATTAAACTTGCAAACGTGTTCTTGAATATTACTTGCTCTAGTACACTCCAAAAAAAGATAAACATTCATAGACATTCACAACCATAAAATGAAGATGGCTTTGAAACATTCCATTTATCCAAATATAAAACAACAGCCAAAATAAACTGAGTTAAATACGCTCAAATCATCGAAAAAACTCCAAAATCTGAAAAATAATCCCACCTTCAACTCTTCCAAAGAGAAGCCTCTACCAGCCCTCACTTTCATGTTATACTTCAACGTCTGTCCATGAACAATAGGCCGAAGTGGTCCAGCAGTCGGCCTAGGGAAATTCTTCACAGCCTTCTCTTGACGGACTAGCGATGATTTACAGAAGAACAATCAAAATCTGTTAGAACAATACAATACAATACAATAGAATATATAGCCATGGATGACCTAGCAGAAAACACAGGGCCTCACCATTCCTTCTCCTTGTTTTGCGAGCAGGCTGGTTGAACCAAGTTCTGACATAATTTTGCCAGTGCTTCCTAAAGTGCCCACTGGGGATAACATTGTTGTGCTTCATGGCTTACCTGCTCAATAATTTAAGCAAGTATTCCAAACAAAAGAAAGAATCTTCATTTATGTTATGTATGTCACAAAAATTGGTAGCAGATAAATTTCGTTAATACACTGACATACATATATATCAAACTTAGTTGGAAGTAAAACCCTAATAACCAGAAACGATCTCAAAAATAAAACCAAATGCCTCGAAGAAACACCACAATCGGAAACGATGTCGCCACAATTCGTAGAACACCAAGAAAATACAGAGAGAATAAAAGGAAACCCAACGATCCTAATAAGCAGCTTGAGAAGGACTGCTAAATAGGGAACTAAAACCCTAATCTAACATTGCATAGTATTCCGAAAACGAAGATCAAATTAAAGTCAGCAGATGAACGTAACACAGAGGAAATTGAAATGAAAATGAACCTTTTTCTTTTCCTCTCTGCGCCCCCTTCTGCGATTCCAATCCTTCGTTCCAATTTGGCTGTGCTAAAATTTGATATATAGCGGCCATTGACAAAAGCCCTAGGGATTCCCCTTCCGGTTCTGTTGGACCGGGTTGGTTATTTCTTGTACAAATTTCCAGATTTATTGGGCCGGCTTGCAATTTCACTGTTTTTTTTTTTATCTTAATCTAAGGATTAATTTAATTTAATTGAAAATTTAGGTTAATCCAATCATCTTACAAGTTTAGGCTAATTTCGATTGTGTTTTTTGAAATCAAGGTTAAATTACCAATTTGGTCATTATATATAACTTAGTTATAACTAACGTTCGATTAGTTTTTGTAGTTCTGGTTTATTTAGGTCCTAATCCGACCATGATTTTATGATTTTCAATAGGTCATAACCCAACAATGCATGAACTATGCAACGCATTTCCTATTCGCGTAGCAAAAAACATAGATCCTATTTAGTAACAACTTGGTTTTTAGTTTTTAGTGTTTCCCTCTTCGAGAAACAACAATCCAATTGAAAATTCGCTATGCATGTAAAAGTTAAGCTCAAGAAAACCCGTCTTTCGGCCAATTACTTTTAAAAGAACTAATGAGATAACATGAAAAAGTAGAGAGAATAGAATATTAAAGATTTTATGTCTATTATAATATGAAGAGAGGATTCGTAGGAAAGGTATTTATAAAAAAAAAATTAATTGAGTAATTTCGTAATTAAGTTATAAATTTATAATCTCCCTTGTAAATTCGTTTTTTTAACTCAAGATTTAATTTCTAAAAAAACCCATTTAAAATCCATATAAAGAAAACATTTCTATTTGGATGATATTTTAAATACTAGAACTTTCAAATTTTAAATACCTAACTTTTTATATTATGCAATATTTTAAATATAGACTGATTTTTTTAATTACATAACCTTTTATTTTCTTATATTTCACCATAAAAACATATATATGTTAGTTGTATCCTTATAAAACCCACATTAAAAATAAAAAATAAACAAATAATAATAATGATAATAAAGAAGAAGGAAAAAAAAAATTAATGGAAAAGGGCTCATCTGTTAAATGTTGTGTGCATAACATTGCCTTCTCTCTTATTGATCTCACAGCATCCAGCGCTAATACAAAGTACACCAAAATAGCACAAAATTCAATGTCACTCTTTTGTATATGAAGAAAATTGATTGTTGGCTAATAGTTACTTCTTCAATCAACCAACTCAATGAAATTTGAATAAAAAGAAAGTTGAAGGCGTGTACCTCATGACCTTGCATTTGGTAGCTCCAATTCTATAAACCTGGAATCGATTCAAGGTTGTACTTCTGAGACCGAGCAGCTTCGACTTCCTCGCTATCTTCCACATTTGGTTTCTTCATGGTGTCGAGTGTGTTTATATAAGAGTGTGAAACATCTCGACTGGAAGATATGCCAGAATTGCTGATTCTGCTTGCCAGGAAGCGACGAATCAGACCTCGGAGGAATGGAGCCATGGTATCTGGCTCATATTCTAAGTAATACATGATTCCTCCCATACAAATTGAGAACAGGAAGACCTGCTCATATTACCAAAACAAAGGAAAATTGTTAGAAATTTAACAGAACATCATAGGTATCAGGTTGTTTACAATCCTAATACACTGTAGAGATTTTGTAGAACTCCTCCACACAATTATAGAAACTATTTTGGAAACGAGTTCACTAGATCCAGGCTGACACGCTGCTAATCTCTCTCGAGGATCGACATACGTTGGCAATTAATTACATTTCAAGCATGACATTGCCAGTTATTCTAGGCCATTAATAACATATGAGGAAGTATATTGCTGTGATTACTTAAGATAGAATCACAGAAATAGTTGTTTCTCGGGAATAAGAACATAGATAGATGTGAGTGACTGATGCGCACTCCAAACAGTTGCATTTGATTTTGAAGTAATCATACCTCAGCGTTTTTTATGTTTGGAACCAGGTGGCGTTTGACCAAAATATACCACCAAGAATCAGCTGCACGCGGAAGAACATAGAGAGCTAGTTCAGATCGTCTTCCCTTCTTCTCTAAAAGAACTGAAAGGGCAGATATTCCACCGGCAACCCAATATACGAGTTTGTGGTCTTTGGTTGCAACTTTCCTATGCAAACAAATGACCGCCTAGCATCATCTCAAATACTTCAGAACGTTATCTTACAGACTTCAACTGATATTAATGTGAATACAGTTCAGAAAAACATCGACCTGAAAAATGCCAACAAAGGCAGACAAAAAACTTGTCGAGCGAACTGCACCTTTGACTGCAAGCCAACAGGTACGACTGGGAGCATCCATGAACTGCAAAAGCATGAATTATGATAACTAGAAACGAGAACTTAATGGGAAAAAAAATCTCAGCAAAAAATACAGGGGATAACAGCTATCTAATCATTTTAGTAAAAGATAAGAATTTTCTTAATATATATATATACCTATGCACGTATCAAATAATAAGAGGCTTTTGTAACTACTTATCCAATTTTGGTACAAATTGGAGAGCCTTTTTGTAACTCCTTGGTTTTTGTACATCTTTCTCATGTACGTGTCATAGTTTTAATGGAAAGACCTCTGTTCCCTAGTGAAGGAAAAAAAAGGGAAACTAGCAATTCTAAACAATGGCAGCTCTAACCAAGGAACACAATTTTGGTGGGCCAATCCTGGTAGAAGAAAATTTTAGGGAGAACTTACTTTCTGCAGGTGCAAAACAACGAATGGTACAAATGTCAAAGAGAAGTAAAGAGGAAATGTCTTCTTGAATGTGGCTGATGCTGCCTGCGTATTGTGAGCCATGCACGAATCCGTGTCCGGATGGATTATATTACATGGAATAATGGAGGGAAATTCATCTAGATTTTCATAGCCAGATTTCTGCCTATCTGACAAGTAAGAAGAAAGTGAAGCACCATCCACAGGATGGCCTCTACAACTATCTCGTACAGCCTTGTAGACTGGTTCCGCTACTGGCCCTGTATTCTGAATGAAGTCCCGATATGCTTTTGGCAAGCTCTCCGGACGCATTACAAAGGAATACATAACCTGTAACAAATAGTTAATCACGAGTATGAGGTTATCACAATTATATAAATTCTATGCCAGAAACACCATAAGGGCAGAGATGAATCCCATAGTTCTTTTAATCAAGAAATAGAAATTCCCGCAAATCAACCATAGAAGCTTACAAAAACAGCACCAGTAGTGTTGGAGGGACTAGGAGATATACATATACTATATAGATAGATAGATAGATATTTGGTTGATATAAAAGAGATCTTTTATTGAGAAAATGGGAAACACAGAGGTTACACAAAAATAGACCAGCATCAACAAGGGCCTACAAAGGAAGTAGAATTAAAAGAGGCCCAAATGTTGATAATTCAAACGGGAGTATAGTAATACAAATATGTAAAAGCCAAAAACCTAAGTGGAAACATCTGCACTAGTACAATCACATGAAAAAAATAATAATAATAAAATAAAAAAACTTTTTATTCCTCCCCAATCAAATGCTCCACAAAAAATAGAAAGTAGAGAACCCATACAGCTTTAAACTACCTGTGCACATGCCATGGCAAAAAGAAGAGAATCACCATGTCTCCAGTGACTTCCCCAGAAGTGGAATTTGTTCTTGGATTTTGCAGAATTATAGGCACACTAATTTTATGAAGAAAAATGAAGCAAATGAAGAAGTAAAAAGAGTCAGATAGAATTATAAATATAAAGATAGGGAGCCAAAGAAACGGGAGAAAGAAAACTACATCTCAACGGCAAACTTGTGTGCTTTGTACCTGAGCAAGTCTAGCCATAAGATATAAAGCAAGAGTACGCCTCCGATTTGAGCCATCTAATGCTAAAACAGACAGACCAGCCACTGAACCTGCTAAAATTCTGCTCATCATCCATTAAAAAGAAGAAAATGAAACACAAACAGAATCATGAAGACGTGAAAGTTGATGCTACAATGGATTGGAGACTTACACATTTAACGATGTGTCTTTCTTTCTACACTTTCTTAGCAAGCATCTAAGGGCATGATAAGACCCAGTAAAACCACCAAAGAGCAAACCAACACGACATGCCTCTTCTCTCACTATCAAGTCTTTCTCTGAGACAAGTTGCTACAAAAAAGTGTTCGGGAGGAAAAATCTAATCAAGTACATGAAAAAAAAATGGAGAGAACAATATATCCTCGAAGAACTAAATTATTAAATAGATGTGAGAGGCAGCAGAAAGTTAAACACATTATATGATGTCCAACATTGGTTGGGGAGGAGAACAAACCACTATTTATAAAGATGTGTAAATCTTCCCCTAGAAGACGCGTTTTAAAGCCTTGAGGGGAAGCCCGAAAGGAAAAGCCCAAAGAGGATAATATCTGCTAATGGTGGATCTAGGTCTTTACACATAAAGATTAACCTTCCAAGTTTTGGCCCTCTAGTATGAAAGCGCTACCTTTCTTTTAACTTCCATCACCACTTCTATCTTGTTGTACTTATCTATCAAAAAAGCATAATTTTCCCATTTGAAAAAAATGAACCAATACAAACATATAACTACGCAGTCTGACATAAATCACTTGTGGGGAAAAAAAAGTTAAATCCTAATATGGAAAAAAATGTAGGTAAACAAATGACAACCCTCTTTACTTCAATCTTGATTGTTCCTATTGGAAATATTCTTTTAATCCCTGAAAAATTCATCCCATTTCGTTTTCACTCACCTCCAATAAAAACTCATTCCCAATAAATATGGTGAAGAATGCAATTCAACGAGAAATAACTATAATAATCTCCATCAAATGCATTAACCTAAACAAACAGTCACATGGCAGCCATAAGAATCAACTATATTGATCATGAAAACAATAATAAAGGGAGAAAACTGTATGGTGCCGTGAATCCAACAATATTTTCCAATCCTGATTCAAAACTTCAATCGGCGATCTCACAAAACAATAAGGAATACCGGAATCAACAATTTAAAAATACGAATGACATCAAACAAAACGAACCTTGAGATCAAGAATAGAGGAATAGGACTGCCTCCGCGCGAGCTTGAAAGCACGGAGAAGTATACCAATGCCAACTCTAACACCATAAGAGAGAAGGAAGGTCTGACAGAGGTTACCAATGGCATTAGCCACACAAGAGGACTCGTAAGCAGCATGTTCACAAGGCGGGGGCTGCTCCCGGGTCTGGTGATGATGAGATCCACATGCCGCTACTTTCCGCTGCCGCCGTTGAAGCTCCTCAATAGCTTCCCGGAGCTGGTCCTCCGCCTCACGGAGACGGTTCTCGGCCTCCGAATTCTGGATGCTGCTGGTGCTCCTGTTAAGAGACGGCGATGAGGGAGAGGAAAAAGGGGGGAAAGAGGAAGAGGAAGAGGAAGAATAAGAAGAAGAGGATGACATTTTGCGATGTGGAGAAAGGGAAATGGGGGCATCTGAGGAAGAGAGAATGAGGGATTACGAGAGATCGGAGATGGAGGAGAGGGATGCGAATGAAGATGAGAAAGAGAACGGTGGAAATGGTGGAAATGGCGGAAACTAAGCCATTGGTGGTTGAGGAAGACGAGGAAGAGGGATCCGTTTGACAGTTAGGGGGGGAAAAGGCAGGAGAGAAGGCTTAGACGGGGGGGCTCTCTATAGTATCTTATTACCCACTTCATACAAGGCACGTTACAAAAGAAAACGATGGCTGAACTCAAAACATTAATTTAGTAACGGATTAATTTGTTGTCCTAAATTTGAGAGGAGAACAACCCTTCCTGAGTGTAGAAATATCATTGTAACAGAGATGTTTTAAAATTGTGAGATTGACGGTGATGCGTATTGAAATCGTGAGGCTGACGGTGATGCGTTTTGAAATCGTGAGACTGACGGTGATGCGTTTTGAAATCGTGAGACTGACGGTGATATGGGTCAAAATAAACAATATCTGTTAACGGTGGGTTTGAGTTGTTACAAACGGTATTAGAGTCAAGCACCATGGGCTAATTGTGATACGTTTTAAAATTGTGAGACTGACGGCGTTACAAAACAGGTCAAAATGACCAATATCGATTGGCGGTGGGTTTGGTTTATTACAAACTGTTTCTGTTGTATCAGAGAGCTAGATACTGACGATAACTAGTGAGTACATTGGGTCCCCAACATTTATTGTAAGGACGTGGAAACCTAACATGAGATTGACAATAAGCAACGAATCAAACGTTGGGTCTCCAACACAGTGGATTGTGAAATCATTTCTTATAAGGGTGTGTAAAGACCATGAAATTGATGACTAAGTAACGGGTCGTTGATGGCAATAAGTAACGGGTCAAAACGGACAATATCTCCAACAGTGGGCTTGATCATGAAAAGGTGTATTAATTTTCCACACATCTAAAAAATCTAAACCTTTTTCATATCAACGATGGTCACATGAAAACCATGACCAAATCTCTCAAAAGTAGGATCCACACGAAAACAAGTGACACTCGTATTCTCTCTTTGCATTTGGAGTCATTACGAGTGACAACAAATCTAGGTAAAATCCATGCAGTGATGTTGAAGACAATAAGGACCCTGACAATTTTGTCAGACTTTGATAGTAGTTAACAGGTCAACTACTGTGTGTTGATACTTCTTTGCACGAATAAGAAAAATATTAACAAGGAGGAGAAACTACTAAATCTTGGCAATAAGGTTAATAATTTTTATTCGACAGTAAATTTCATCATGCAAGTGCTTGTAATCTAAGCACTTCAAAGAACAGTGAAAAAAGAGAGGAAGTGAAAGTAAAACCATAGAAAATAGTAATTCATCTATATGTCTAGGCCTCCCAACCCCTCAAGAGGGTAGCACGAGCCACACGGTTGACAGCCAAAGTGAAAGCACCCATACGAAGGTTGCAGTCATGTGATTTGCACATGCTCTTGATATTATAAAAAGCTCTTGTCATGTACCTTTGAAGCTCCTTGTTCACCTTCTCTTCATCCCACATGAACCCCTGAATATTCTGCAAACTTACCAGAATCGCACCTCTTAGCTACCACTTAGTTCACTTTTTTGTTGTTCTTGTTTTACTCCCTAACGTTCTCAAGAAATGAAGCAAATTGGTTGGAACGTAATGTGAATTGTTGTCTAGATTTGCATGTTTTTCTAATGCTACATGTTAGGAATCACGTCTCTCCATAATGGTATGATATTGTCCACTTTGAGCATAAGCTCTCATGGTTTTGCTTTGGGATTTCCCAAAAGGTCTCGTACCAATGGAGATTGTATTTCTCACTTATAAACTCATGATCTTCTTCCATTAAATGAACTAAGGTAGGACTCACTCCTAATAATCCTCAACACTAGATTATTCCGAGACGCGTTATAAAAAAGAACTAACTAATTGTTACAATGATACATCAAAAACTTTGTACGAGGTTGAAATCACAACATCATAGTTTTCATGTTAACCTACATATCCAATATTTTAAATCTTATTCTACTCTTTCAAATATTATTCGGAGAATATTATACATTTAAAACTTACTAGATTAATATATTGAAAACTTCGAAATTATGTTTGGAGACTAAAATTGTAACAACCTAACCCCGCTACTAACAAATGTCCGTTTTAACTCGTTATAGGGAGACGTTTCCACACCTTTATAAGGAATGTTTCATTCCTCTCTCCAATTAATGTGGGATTTCACAATCCATCCTCCTTTGAGAGACACAACGTCCTTGTTGGCACACCACCTAGTGACTGACTCTTATACAATTTGTAAGAAGTTCAAGTTCACCTTTAGCAGATATTGTACGCTTTAACCCGTTGCATATCACATCAGCCTCACGGTTTTAAAATGTATCTACTAGAGAGAGGTTTTCACACCCTTATGAGGAATGTTTCGTTTCCTTCCAACCGATGTGAGATCTCACAAAAATAGTAGAATTTAAGCCTACATTAAGCGCAAAAGTTTTCATGTTGAGTGTGCTTGTTACCTGAACCCACTCAAAATAGCTTACGGTGACTCCACCAGCATTTGCACAGATGTCAGGGAGTATTATGACTCCTTTCTTAGATAGGATCTGTAGCAATGGAATCATAACTATCACAAATTTAAGCATACGCATGAATCCAAGATTAATTAGAAACATTACCTCATCTGCTTCTGGATCAGTAGGGTGGTTAGCTGCCTCTACTATAAACTTTGCTCTCACACCACCAGCATTTTCCCTTCAGTTGGAAAAAATGGAATTAGCTAGACACATTGAGTTGCAGAAGTTAACCTCAAATATACAATGCAAACCATACATAAATGCATATACATATCTTCAAAGTATTCAAGAGTTTCAAAAGTATTTGACAGCAGAGGAGGATTTGTGGATGAAAAAGATGGTAGACCTGTTCAAAACTCCACCTAAAGCACATGGGATAAGAACATCACATTCATGAACTAGAAGTTCATTCGGATCCAAGCCATCTGCACCTTGGAAATTTACGAGACTATTGGTCTTTTCTCTGTGTTCAAGCAGGTCGAATACATTGATCCCATTTGGATTCTTTACAGCGCCGGTGATATCACTCACTGCAACAACCTTTCCTCCTTTTTCATGGATGAGTCTTGCAACCCAAGATCCCACGTTACCAAATCCCTATTAATTTGCAGTTCATAGAGGTTTCTTCAATTGAAATGTTGAATAGTTTCAAAAGAGAACACAAAACATTGTCAACAAGACCATTAAGTTTGCACATTTGAATTCTAATATACCTGAATAACAAATGTTAAATCTTTGATTTTCTTTCCATGCTCAGCAAGTAAAGCTTCGGTAGCAAAAACAACACCACGCCCTGTTGCAGCCTCTCTACCAAGGGAACCACCAAGGTCCTATAATTGAAAAATGTATGAGAGAGGGGTCAAATCAATTCAGTAATATTCGTCAAACACAGAGCAGTTTCTTGAATCTTCAAGTCTTAATCACTTACTAAGGGCTTCCCCGTCACAACAGCAGGCGAGTGACCATGAAACTTAGAGTACTCGTCCAAAATCCAGGCCATTGTCTGCACAAATCATTTGGCTTCAAATTCATAGCAGCAGCAGGAAATTCTAAGCATAATCAATCATCCTGCCGAAGGATACTATTGAACCTGTAAACTATCTGAACTAAACCTGTGCATTTGTGCCCATATCTGGTGCCGGAATGTCCGTATGTATGCCAATAAGGTCATGGATCTTCTGAGTAAATACACGAGTAAGGCGTTCCAACTCACTCATACTTAACTCTCGTGGAGTGCATCCAATCCCACCCTTTGCACCTCCATAAGGAATATCTGCTACGGCAGTCTTCCATGTCATTAGTTGAGCCAGAGCATTTACTTCATCAGGGTTGACCTTTAGTAGCAGAATTGAGCAATTCAATAGTCCATTACGAGGATGTTCATATGTAAACATCTTAAGTCTCTTAGTAACAGCTCAAGAACATTACTTGTAAATCAGAAGGCTCAACCTTTTAGTAACAGATTTTGTCATTCAACTATGTATGGTAGCAGTATCTTGTCACTTCTCATTGCAAGTACTTGAATGCAATAAGGTGCGCTGGAGAGTAGAGCTCTCATATAAGCACATAAAAAGCCTTGCATGTCTCACTACTATTTAGATGACTTTTTGGAACTTTTTAAGTGCAGTACTTACTCGATAAACACAAAAGATGTTCTTGAGAGTGTTCTTAAAATAAATGCTTTTTGGCAATAGTTTCTTAATTATACCCACTTTAGTAAATGGTGTTTAATAACAAATAATCTTACACTCGGATCATCGGGTGCTCGAGTCAAACGTACTTCAAAGATTGCCTTCCAACTTTTTCATAAAACAATTTTATCTTCTTTTCAAACCACTCTCAGACCTAACTGATTGAGTGCATCCAAAATAGACGGTTAGACAAACACGACTCTCCACAATTGTACGATATTGTCCACTTTGAGCATAAGCTCTCATGGTTTTGCTTTGGGCTTCCCCAAAGGCCTCATGCCAATGGAGAGAGTATTCCTTGATTATAAACTCATGATCATTCCCTAAATTAGCCGATGTGGGACTTTCATCATCCAACACAGACAGCGGTGTTTTAGAATGTCCAAAATTACAAGTGATGATATTACAAAAAGAACAACAATAGCAACCTGTTGCCTGATAGAAACTAGTATCGTTTTCTTAGTCCAACAAATGTGGTGGGGATATGAACCTCTGATCCGATGAAAAAAAAAAAAAAGACTTAACCGGTGAACTATGCACATGCTACCACAGAAATTAGAATCGTTGATAGTGTTCAACGTGTCAAAAGTTCTCATTCAGAAACCAAAACGCACCAAATGACATCTTCACTTGCAAATCAAATAAGATAAACAGAAAAGAACAATCGCACATAGTGATCAAAACATAAAAAAAAAAAAAAAAAAAAAAAAAAAAAAAAAAAAAAAAAAAAAAAAAAAAAAAAAAAAAAAAAA